TCCGAAGAACACTTCGGAACCGGACAGGCCATCAACAGTTGACGCAAGAGTCGCTATGCCTTAAGCACATTGTCACAGAAGGACAACAACAGATCGACTAATAGACTATAAATATATATTATTAAATCCTTCAAGAGGTAAAAATCTTACCATTAATCACTCTCGCCTGTGACTAGATCCTTCTACTGTCCCCTTAAATAATAACGATACAATTGATTACTTAACACATTCCAATAAACATCTTACACCATATTAAGTATAGTTATTCATACATCAAGCGTACTTGATTCAACTACCATATTCTCATACTACCTCACAAGCATGATTGGCTGACTACATCAGCTGATATTTACAACATCGGCACAACCTCAATTGCAAGACACAGTAATATCCATAGAATCTACAATAATCAAGAATACCAGAACACACCCTCATTACTTCAATAGAATTATCTCTCTCTACGCGACAGTGCAATATTATTTATAATCATTTACATTAATAAACCTTGTTTTACTAAATACATTATATTTTTCAGCCTTGTCAATTATTAGCTCCTTTAAAATTATCCTGCCGAGAGACTAATCCACTGTACTATTGAATTGGTAGTTCGAGCCATAAATTAAACCTTTAAAATCGAAAAGTAATAATAATATATATAAATAAAAATATATTGTAACGTGATATCTGAAGATTCAAATGAGGTATTGATTAATTTTGCTCTCTCTCTCTCTCTGTCTGTTACGGATTGAAACAGTTGAAAAGCGGGATACAAAAGTAGGAAAGGTATGAGCACGCGATTCAGTTTTTAAAAAACAATAGCCAACGAACCTTCCAGGCTATGCCATTTTGACGTCACGACCAATATCGTCATAGCAACAAACACCGGCGTTTAAGGACTAGCGCGATAATATTTAAGGGTTGTGCTTCACGCGCAGCATGAAGTAATATTTAAATAATAAGTCTTTGACTCAGTCTAGTCTAGTAACAATTACGCTGTCATTATAATGGGCGCACTATTCAATCTTCAAACTTGTCTCTACAGTCATCACTCACTGTACGTTTAACATCTATTCAGTCACTACACATCTGGCTCACAGTATTTTTCTACGATAAATTCAGTTTTGTACTCATTGTGATTCTATATTTAGTATTATTATTAAGTAGTGTATCTCACATCAGTGTCACTTGCTCCAGTACGAACTGCAATTAAAATCTCAGACAATCAAGAATACAATAAAGAACTCACACCACTACAATAGAATAATTCTTTATCTCAATAAAAGCAACCAACAACGCTACAATATTATAATTCATAAG